GTTGTACTGGTTTATAAAGAACACGCATGAATCAAAATGGAAAACAGTGTCTCATACTCTGCATCAATATGCCAGAGACAAATATGATTTCGCCCTTTTCTTGCACTTTCCTACTCTATAAACATATGTTAATTTCTAATATTTGGGCTTACTTATTGGGTATTCCCAAGTAATTATAAATGTTAATACATTTAAAAAAGCAACCCTTTCAAATGCACATAAATGGAGAATTTGGAAAATATTTTGTGGGTGGAATGTGAAAAAAGCGAGAACAAGAAATGGAATGTCTAACTTTAGTAATATTTATTTTAAAATAATATACATTTCAGTCTGAGATCGTTTTATATGTCTATGTTGAAATTACTGATACAATATTCATTGGGTTTATGAATACATATGCACTATCAGTGAGTTGAACATAACACATGTAGATCAAAATGCGCATTTTACATAAATTGGGAAACACACTGCAAATTATTAATCTGAAGGAGTTAATGAAAGAAAATTTTAATTCTAACAAGCTTCGTGTTTATTTATTTCAAGGCTGTAATTAGTTATTAGTAACATATTTTAAGTTTGTATTTGCTTTTTGTGTTCCTCATGTATTCCAGTTATCATATTATTGCTAGATCAACATTTTGCTGTTGCAAATATAAACATCGTCCTTTCGAAGTTTTTATTTACTGCAACAGAAATACAAAATAATAGTAGTGCCAGCACATAACGTAATATCCAAACGGCTTTTTAATTAACGTAATTAAAAATGCACAAGTGTTATAAATAAGCGGCACAAATGTAAACATTTTCCGAGAAGGTAAATGAAAAAGAAAAGCTTTAGTTTTCAAGAACAAATAATACGTAAAACCTTCAGCTATTGTAATGTCACAATTCTATAATATTCATGCCAAATAGGCTTTGCAAAGCATGATTAATTTGTACTGACAGCAGATACATATCCTATATTAAAGAAAAGAACGAATGAGCTGAAGAATGCATATGACATTATTAAATTTTTAAGAAATTTATTAAAAACAATTTTTTTTTTGTAATTAAAATATGAATTATTTCAATAAACATTGTGGTTAATATGTGAGAATTGTAATATTTAAATGCCCTTCCTATTTTCTAATTTAGCGAATTAAGTAAGGATTTGAGAGTTACTAAATCAGCAAATTCCTTTCAGCTGATAGCATCAGTTAGAATTTCAGTTTCCGCAAGATGAAAGCTCACCTTTCTTATAGTTGATCCCATAAATCTCTCTGCGTCCCCAATAAAATGAAATAAAATCAAGATCGCCCAAAAAAGACACGTGAATAAATTTCACTTCCTAAAACTTATACGATACCCTACTGGAATATTTTAATCGTATGTAAATAATTTTCAATCAGCCAAACATGCAACAAAAGATACATTATATGGAAAAGCTATGTTATTCAGCTTTCAGTGAATATTATATACATTCAGGGGTGGCAGCGAATGAGTGATCAAACTTACAGCAATACCTTGTGAGTTACGGAACTTAGTTCAGCAATGTATTGTGAGTTAAGGAACTTAGTTCGGTCAACATTTGTTTTAAAAGATAATAATACAGTTTTTCGACGGTTCTTTGAATCGGTCGTTAGAACAATTATTTTATTCAAACAGATATCTGTGTCAACTTTGAAAGGTCACAACCTTTTGACGATGAAAAGACTTAAGTTCTAATACGTTATCTTTTTGACCTAATACAGCATCCCCTGACATCTTGGTCTATACAATGGCGTGAGTCCGCTTCATATGGAATTATGCTGTACCGGAAGCGTATTTAGATGCAAAAATCGTTTGCATTACTTGAACTGGACAAAATTTGTAATATTGTATATAACCTTCACTAAAATCGAGTGTTCAAAGTGGAAGCACAATAAGATATATCGAACTAATCTTACTACAATGGAAATTATTTAAATTCTACAGTGAAGAAAATGGAAGAAAATACTGATTAAGATTGCTTAAACAAACTTCATCGCTGAAAAATAAATGACGTACGGCTCTCCAGTACTAACAACGTTAACATACAATTCTCAATGGCATAAGTTTATGTGGAAAATATAAACTCTTAAAATTGTCATTTAATTCTCCAAAAATCCGCCAGGAGAGGAAAGTGCTGTAGTCATATAAGAGGGATATCGATGAAGTTCATGCCATATAGTGTTGGTAAAACTCACATGTTCTGCATTTCCAGCCTGAAATTAAAGACAGATGCATATAGTTAAAACGCTTTTGCAATTGGATAGAAACGGCACCAAATGTTTCTGGCTATGAAAAGTTTAAATTACAACAGATTATAATGACTGCCCTTTAAGTAGATGATAGCTAAATTACAACAACGAATGGGAAAATTACTAAATTAAAATTGTATATAATAACATACCTTTCATTAGTCTCTGTCCAACAGAGTCTTCAAGAATCCACTGGATCGTCGTTTTCTTTTACCAGGACTTTGGGGACTATGAAGATAATAATATTGATCTGCTATCGCTGATGCCATCTCCGTTCGACAAGCTCCTCCTAATTGGAGGCGGCAGGTACGCTTCCTGAATAATAATAATAATAATAATAATAATAATAATAATAATAATAATAATAATAATAATAATAATAATAATAATAATATCATCATAATCATAACATCGTTATTTTTATTTACATCATCAGAACAAAATCAACGAAAAATATAATAATGGATTCGATATTTCAAATTTTAAAGAGAGCTTAAAAATAAAACGGGTCTTTTCGTCTATTCTGTAAACAACACTATTATAACCACAGAAACTACCAAACTACATGTGAACGTCAGCATTAGCACGACTACCACTACTATCTACTGCTACTTCTGCTGGCACAATCGCTAATATTACTAATACTACAACTATTACTACTGCTTCTACTACTACTACAATGCTACTTTTGCAGCTGCTGCCACTATTGCTTCTACTTTTATACCATCATCATTTATCACACCAAAAATAAGGAAACATCTCATAGCTTATTGCATTCACGTGTGACTTAATGGACCATGCACATTTTTGAGGACATCAGGTTGTTCTGTTAAAAAGTGGACCATGTCTCATTCTGCACGATCGCCCCAGGTAAGCATCGCTGCCAGTTTGTACGATTTTCTTTACAATAGCTGGTATTTGGATATTGCTTCTACGCTGACCAGCTTGGCTGATACATATGTATGTTAAGAGTAACAAAATAGTTCCAAATACTTGTCCCCTTTACTTTGTTTATTGTAGTGTAATCGCACGTGATTTTGCAACCCTGTATCTGTTCTAGCTCATCAAAGCAATTTCGTTGGCAAATCTTCAGTTTCTGAGTAAAGTAATTTATGAACATTGTCAGTCTCTTCCATTTTGGATGCATGTTGATCTAGCAAGTACTCCGCTGTCCCAAATTGCCTAAACGAAGGTTATCGGTTTTGAAAACCGCCAAACTTCTGGAACTCATTTTTTTAGTATGTGCTACGGTCATAGGGATGGGGACCTTGTTAAAGAGAAATAACTCAATCGTGCTTCTCCCTACTTAAACAATATATGGAAGGTTTAGCTCCCATAGGTCAACAATTATTATATACTTGGCAAAACCGCTTTCATATAAATCCTAAATACACTTTTAACAGAGGATCCGTACGGCTGTCCTTTCTTTTATTGTTGAGAATAATTGGCTCCATAACAAAGATAATTAATAACGCGTGTTATCCAGTATAAGGATTTAAATTATCTCTTCGAAATCTCATTCCACTTTTTTCAATACGAAATTTGATTTTTCTTGACAGTTAAACGGTAATTGGTTAGTGCACATAGTGTTGTGGAATAAAAATTTGTGCTAACGTTTTTATTTTGATAATGCTGTTCTTGTTTTAATAGAATTGCGTCAAGGTGCTCTAATCCGTGTATCTGACGCTTAAGTGTCGTACTGATGCAAGATCATTGTGGTACTGGCTACAGTAATTATGTGCATGGCATGATGGGACTGCCCCTCGTCCTTCATTTATCCGTTTACATGTCTTTGTGATTTCTACTCCTCCTAAACTACTTCCTGGAGAGTCAAAAGGGGTGGCATATGGTTTTATTCGGAGGACTTCTGATAGTCCAATTCTAATTATCTTGCTATCACTATTCCACCTGAGCCAAATTTCTCCTTTGGATTTTGGCGAAAAGACTTAATGTTGTCGTGACATGCATATATATATATATATATACACACACACACACACAAGGTGCCCGTTTGTCAGCCAACATCGTTGCCATGAAGACCATATTGAAAATCTTATTCACTGCTATTTCAGAACGAATGGTCTTATAAAATGATTTTCACTATGATAGCTATTAGTAATTGTACGGAACTATTAATGGTCCTAATATAGCATACAATATGGCTGTTACGATGGCCATCTTGAAATCTTGTTATCTCTATTCTATCTCAACGAACCGTCATGGTGACATGGAGTTTTCAGTAAAAGACTTCTTCACACATGTAGATAGTCCTGAGTGAAAATGCCGATCGGTCGCATTTGCCATCTTGAAAATCTTGTCGCTATTCTTTCTGGAAGAATTGCCTTATTAAAATAGCACGTTTTACCAAAAAGAGTCGTTATGGCATAAAGATGGCACTACATGAGAATACTGCCCATCTGACATCCAGAGTGGCCGTCATACCAGTTACTGTAATAAAATACTTCTTGTAATATGTAGTTCATGCTATATTAAAATGTTGGACAATGATTTGGCCACTAAAATGGCTGCCTTGGCGGCCATCATGAAATTCTTGTTGTGACTGTTTATTCCGAATGGAATGTCATATCGATATAGTCTTTTCGCTAAAACACCATTACAGTATGTAGCGGACCCTGAATAAAATGTTCTATTCTGATATCCCCACCTGTTGCAATAAGTTATTTGGTCCTAAATGAAAATGCTGTAGATTTTACTATCAACATACCCACACTACTGTAAGTTGACCGCTGCAGTGGTCAGAGCGTTCGCCTCAGATGCGGGAGGTCGCGGGTTTGAATGCCGGCTGAGTCATACCAAAGACTTATATAAAAATAGTGCTAACAGCTGCCTCGATGGGCGCTCAGCATTAGGAGGTTAGTGCTAGTACTGGTCTGCGTGGTGTCAAGATCATGTGACTGGGTGGAACATAATGCTACATGTTCGCGGCATGTTGCCCCAGTGCTAGAAATCAATATAAACTGCCACACTTCAGACATCGTAGCGATACGCCTGAAAGGTTTTTAAAAGCTACGTTAAAATTCCAAATCTCTCTCACACGCAAACACACATACTGTAAGCGAGTTTGAAAACTAAACCTTACTAACCATGCGGCCAAATAAAAAGTCACTGCTAGCTTTTAATACAATTTTAAGTTGATGAAAACAGTTCCTTGTGCATATACAATTAAATTTGACCAAGCTTTGCATTTAGATCTCGACCTAACCCCACCCCAAAAAAATGTTATAGCGTGATGGCAGTTAAAGATCGAAGGTTTTGACAGAGGTTTTATTGTTTTGGGCAGGGTCAGCGATGGATTGAGAGCACCATGCTAGAAATATATATGAGTAGATTTTTGTCTTCATATCCACTGAATGCAGATTAAAAGCACAATTTTATCATGCCGTTTCAGCAACTTTAGGCTCAAATAAAATTTGTTATTGTCATGACCTAGAACATTGATTTATGTTTACGGTATCGGAGACGAGTTCAGCCATTAATCATCGATCCATGATGTCAATGCAAGACATAGATTATTGTAGCTTCTAAACAGCATGGCTCCAATATAATATATTGCAGCATGTTTTTGTACCCCAGAAAGAAATGTTGAAGTTTCTGATAAAAACAAAGATGATTTCAATAATCAGCAATTTCAAAACTATCAAAGAATGGTAGACACTGGCTTCTCTTGAATTTTTGGTAAATTTCTTAGGGTCATTAAAACATCACTCCAATTTAGGGACCTTTGTTTAAAGATCTCTTCAGTTAAGTAGCTGGTATGTGCAACAAATATTCCAAAGAGAACTTACTGTTTACTGGAAAGGTTATCATTAGCTTGATCCAACAGGTCTCCAATAGTCTGTAGGTCTGACCGCTTTTTGCTTATGTCTTCCAGCAGTCTGAAAAATTAATAATTTCATATGGGAACAATTAAAGCTTGTTATATCATTTTGTACGGCAGAAACGAAATTTTTCAATATGATTGGTTAGTTTAATTGGGTAAGATTTCTTTATAAAACTTAAAAGTTTTATAATGATACAATATTAAAGTAATACACAATACATAAATGAGAAGAAACAAGAAGACAAAACAACTCTCTTCAGAAGTTTGAGTACAAATCTTTTAAGTTCGTGTTCCGTGTATAAAATAGATTTCAGTACAATTAGGAAATTTGGATCAAAGTCAATTCAAATCAAATCAAATACGACAAAAGTTAGCTATAAGTAATACCTAGTTTTCATGCTAACGCATATCAGCATCCAGTCATTCCACAGGGTATGCATTAAAAAATATTCCTTAAGCGGAAGTTTGCATGCTCGATAATCGGAACAGAGGTGAATAATTTAAAAACAGTAAAAGCAAAACGACTTCGAATCATATCAGACTCCAAACGAATTAGACTGCACCAGATCTCTTCTCTCGAACGAATATAATGTATACATAATGTTCAAAAAATTTAAATTAACGAATACTTATTTTCCAATGTCCAAATGTGGACAGTAATTAAAGAAACAACAAAAATTCAATAGATATTTCATCGTTTCCTGTCATCAACAAAGGCTAATGCTTGCTAGTGTCTCGCAATGCGAGTTAGCATACGCATGACGTCACGAGAACTCATCTGCGACCTAGTTTAATATTTTATGTTTCATACACTGGCCTAGTCCCGGTTCTTGGATGTGAAATTGTGAACTTGTGTATTCACATGATTATTTGACGAGATGGTGTACTCGGAAAATATCCTATCTGGTCATTTAATTTTACTGATGATTTCAATCTATCAGCTGAGCTACGATTGTACAGGACTGAACAAGTAGTAATAATTTGCATGTTGTCCATTTCCCAATCTTTCCATACAAATATTTTTGAGAATTGTATGATCACAGATGATTTTTATACCAAATAAACAAAAGGTCAACAAAACGTTTCACCGATGGTAAAAGTGAAAGTTACGGATAGATGAGAATTTAAAAATAGAAACAGTTGCTTCGGTTTAGCAAAAATGTCTCAATGGAAATGGTGTATAGCAGTGCATATGTTCAGTAGGAAACTGGGCCGGAAATTAGTGGCATCGCTTATGGCATCAATTAAGCTGACGTCAGCACTGTAATAAATAAGAAATTAGCTGTCGGGGATATCTATCTATATCACGGAGAATATGAAATAACATGGGAATACTCGTTATGACCTATGCACAATGATAGTTTTACATTTAAAATGCTTATCAAAAATGAGACTTTTGATAATGAACAAAACAAATGATCATTCCAATCAGAACACCTGAGGGTTGAGAATGTGGACTGCTAAGCATCTTCCAATCCCCTACAAAAGCTCAAAACAAGTGGAGCGTCTTCTAGGGTAAAGAAAGTTTTATGTACAAATTACGGTGAAATTACGCCTTGGAGACGTTTCAATTGCAGTAACACTGGGGGCTTCGCCCATTCCGGGTTCCGTTCCACAGGGCATTCACATACTTGTTTTCACCACCCACGCCACCCTTCCAAGATATTTATTGATCGACCATCTAGAGAAATTCTTTCGGAGAGTGATAAAGCGTAAACAACTGCCAGTGAAATCAGTCGTGCGCTTAATTAGGTTACTCACAATAGAACCATGTGCAAAGGCTAAAAAAATGATACCATTAAGGAATTATTTGCACATACGTAGTGAAATGGTGTTTTCTTGAGCAATAATACTTTTTATAAGAAACTCTAGATTTAATTGTTTTTGTTTTGTTTTTGTTGTTTTTTGTGTTTTTTGCTTTTATTTTGTTTTTGTATTGGGGTACTTTTTATTATTTTATTATTGTTTTGGTTTGGTGGTTGGGGGATGTTTCGTTTTTTTTAGTTTAAACAGAACTATGTTAGCTATATCTTGTCTAGCAAGCGGTCAATCAGATATTGAACGATGACCCTTGAATTTCTTGTCCCTCGAAATCGCTACTGAGTTAGAGCAACTTCCAGAAACTTAGGCATGATACATCCATGAATATACAGAGTGGCCCCTATGAATGCTATGATTGTTTGCAATGCACACATGGCGTTATATGGTTAACAAGCTACATGTACATGCATATCTTCTGTAGTAGTTCCGAAATGATCGTATGTATCCTATCAAAATATCGCTCGGTCACTTCCGTTACGTCGAGAAATTACATAGGAAGTGGCTGTCACGTCAATGGATTTTGTGATTCGCATTCGGCGGATTGCAGTTTATATTTTCCGACAGAATTGGCCGACAATATTTTGATAGCCTTTCGCCGATTTACCGTGCAATGTAAACAAAAGTAGTTTAGAATATAGTTCTTAATGGCGACGAATAACGTCTGAGGGTTGTTTCGCGATCTTACTGTAAAGGTCGAGGATATTCCGATTGCAGGTTCACTCATGCTTCTAAAGACCGTTTCACCCAAGGTCAGCCTCTTTTAAACTTGTCACTTCAAATGTATCTGCATTGAAGTTTGGCCCAAAAATATGAAAAGATAACAATAACATTGCTTGAGGTGTTGGCTAAAGTCTTAAAATGTGAATATTTTCTGCTGCTTTTTTAATATCCCTTGAAAACTGAAGTAAAACACGAATAGGTTTATCTGCAAGAAATTGGCTTTTGTCAACTTTTGTTGGAAGAGGTGTTCGAGCGAGAGCACCAACTGGTGAGCAAATTGTAATGCCGACAGGAATATATTGTCTTTAAATAAAAAAGGAAGGAAGTAATTTAGATATTACTTGTTATAAATAGCTTATTTGTGGTCTTAGTGCCAAATTTTATTCTTAAAAATGATAACGTATTCCTTTCTATTTAAATTTAGCGCCTTCATATCTAGACATTACAATGGGTAATTATGACATTCATGTAGCAATTGAATTTAAATATCATATTGTAATAGAAACATATTATACATTGCTTTTTAAATATCATATTGTAATAGAAACATATTATGCATTGTTTTTTAAATCAAAATGCGACTAAAGTTTTAATTTTTAACATGTGTGTGGAATCTCGCGTGATTTTGGTCGAGATTTCGGTTATGATATCTTTATTTGTTATGATTCTGCATCTACCATGATTTTGTTTGCAGTCATGCAAATTACAATAGCCATATAAGCAGGTACACCGAGATAAATACTAACATAATTTAGAGCAGATTTCACGTATACAAAGGTATTCTGTTCAAATATAAGTCGTCTGCTAGTGACTTGCGTGTTTTTGATATACAGATTTAACTACTGCTGTCATCCGATCCAAAATATGCTTATGCAATCTGATTGGAAAACTGATGTTATCATCCTTACAAATAAACTACTTTCGCTTCCATAAGTACATTTATGGAGGATATGATGAGGTTCGCTCTACTTTTAACATTACTCAGTATTGATCACATCGGTTTCGTTAACCAGTTATTTTTAAGATTGCAGATGAGCACAATAAATGAATAGTAATTAGGGTACATTTTGGTCAAAGCTCAAATTAGTAGAAACGTACACTTTTATTCGTTGGCAAATTGTACTTTACAGTAAATACGTTTGTGCTTCTTTTTACTTTCACGAAATTTGAAATTTATAGCAAGCATAATATTCACTAAAACTGGTATATCTAACATGCGAATAAAAGTGAATTCATAGTATGTTAGCTTGACTCGCCCTTATTTAAGTCTGGATAACGGTCTAAGCTACAACAGTATTGATCAAATGGCCGCCGTTATGAAATTAAAGTTCTGATAATGTAGCATGAATTCTGACACATTTTGAAAGCTCTTCGTATCGTCTGCATCTTTACTCCATATCTGTGTGTCAAGAACATGAACATCTATTAG